CAGCACCCTTGAAATTCAGGCTGTTTCTATTGAGGGGCCTACTGACTAGCTTCAGATACACCCAGATCTGGCCAGTTTGGCTGATCACTGGAAACAATCACCTTTTGCTCTGACACTGTCATTCTTTGTCTTTACCCAAAGATGGATTTATGATGTATTGTTTTTAGTGGCTTTGGTGTGCATGGTGCTGTATAGCTATATTGTGGTAGGCCCCAAATGAGGGATTGTCCTCCTCCCTGTTGTTTTAGGCACTGTACAAACATTATAAATGACAGTCAAATTCATTCCCTCCTCTGTAGAGCTTACAACCTGTGGCCCTGATCCTGAAAACTCTTAACCATTGGGCACAGGGCCTGATCCTGCACTCAGTGAAGTCAATTGTAATACCTTCCATTGACTTCAGTGGGTGCCAGATTAAGCCCATGGTATCCACTACTGTGACTAGTTAGCTTCAGGGTTACAACTCTGTGCCGATGTCTTCGCTTCTGCAAAAATAGTGTGTTTTTACATTGAGATAGCTAGCTTGATGTAAAATCCTAGTGGAGACAAGTTCATGGAGGATGGGTCCACCAATGGCTATTAGCCAGGATGGGCAGGGATGGTGTCCCTAGCCTCTGTTTGCCAGAGGCTGTGAATGAGCAACAGGGAATGGATCGTTTGATGATTACCTGTTCTGTTCATTGCCTCTGGGGCACCTGGCATTGGCCAATGATGGAAGACAGGATACTGGGCTAGATGGACCTTTGGTCTGACCGGTATGGCCGTTCTTATGAGACAAGGCACAGCTAGTTTTTACCTTGATGTGGCTACTTGATGTAGCTAGTTGAAGTCAACCCCATGTCCCGCTACTGTTTAGCTTGACTTGCTTTTTGAGATAAAAACTACCTGTGCCTTGTCTTCACTAGCATTTTACACTGAGGTAAAGACTTTACACTTGGTGTAAAGACTCACTTTTTTTTGCAGTGAAGACAAAAGCCTGGAAGTGTTCTGCCCAGCAGTAAGGCCCTGATCTTGCAAAGACTTATACATGTATTTAACTTAGACCCTTTGGGAGTACTAATGTGTGTAAAAAAAATTAAACGCATGTGTAAATGTTTGCAGGTTTGGGCTTTATGTTAGATGCAGGAGCCCTATCTACACTAGAAAACTTTTCTGTGGTGGGATTTTTTTTTTTTTTTACTGTATAAATTAGATCTGTTGTGAGCAGATCTAACGGCACAGTGCTTAAAATGGTGGTGGCAGCTGATACACTTTCTACACTAGGGCTCCTGATACTGCTAACACCCCGGGGAAATTTTTAGAAAACTTCCCTAAGCCATAATGAGATATGAAATAGATAAGTAGGGATGGAAGGGAGATTTGTGCAGTATGAGATCAGGAGTTCTCTATTTTCACACTGTATGTATCAGTTCCCTTTTTTGGTTTATTTTTGCACATTTATTTTTGGTAGGTTGACGTATGAGTGGGGGTTAGTGGGAGTGTGTTTAAAAATAAAAAAAGTTGTTGTTGTATGTTGAAAGTTTGAGCAAAAATCCTTTTTGCTATTTTTCAATTTGATGAGAAGGATGAGGGCAGGGAATACAATCTTTAAAAAAAAAAAAGTTCTAACTTTGTTTTTAAACAAAGTCAGATACAAAATAAGTGAAGTTTAAAATTTGCCCTGCCTCTGTTCCTCACTAAGAACTGCTGACTTTGCTTGGTTTGGGTGGAGATTTTAAAATAAGAAAGTTGAAACAAATTACTTCTGAGCATGCTTGCTTGACACCATTTTGGACCTAGTCCTGCATTTGGATCTTTATAGGTGCCTGTGTAGAGCCCCATCAGCCCCTACTCTGAGGGCAGATCCAGTTGAAGGTCTTGTATTTTAAACAGAGTTTAAAGAAGCCATTTACTCCTTTGTCATATCACTCCCAGTCAGACAAACACAGAGGTTGCTTTGGGGATCTAACTGAAACACACCTATAGCAAAATCCTGCAAACAAACGGCCTTAACACTGGGGACAGGAGAATGTTGTGTGCACAAGTAAATAAATCACAGGTCCTGCTGTTTTAGACCCTGATCCTGCACATGCCTATGGACATGGGTACCTTTTAAGTTGACTGTGCCCCTTTAATGTTGTATGTCAGCATAACGGGATGTCTTGTTAAATCAGCTCTGCCAAGTAGAAATAGGAAAACTGTGAGCATGCCTCTCAGGGTGCTGATAGCATCTCATATCACGTAAGCGTCACTCCTGTGACTACCATGGCAGGTGTAGCCTCTGAACTTACCTAGCAATTCTGGCAAGAGACTTAATCATTATTATAGAAAGCTGTTTCCCTGGTTCACAAAATGAATAGGCTTCTCCATTAACAGATGATTTAGAATAACATTTAAGAAGGAGAGGAAGAATGGTCTTGTGGTTTAAGCACCCAACTGGGATTTGCGCAGGGAGTTGGACCCACGTGGCTCGTCCCTTTCACAGCCTCACCCCCCCACATACATACACACTAATAGGGTTACAATATTTCCACAATCAAAAAAGAGGACACGGGGGGGAGCCCCGCCCCCATCCACTCCCTCCCACTTCCCACCCCCTGACTGCCCCCCTCAGAACCTCCAACCCCCCCCTGCTCCTTGTCCCCTGACTGCCCCCTCCTGGGACCCCTGCCACTAACTGCCCCCTAGGACCCCACCCCCTAGCTAAGCCTCCCCGCTCCTTGTCTCCTGACTGCCCACTCCTGGGACCCCTGCTCCTAACTGCCCTCCAGAACCCCACCCCCTACCTAAGCCTCCCTGTTCCTTGTCCCCTAACTGCCCCCTCCTGAGACCCCCCTCACCCTAACTGCCCCCCTAGGACCCTACCTGTACCCTGACTGCCCAAAACCTTATCCACACCCCCAGACAGACCCCCCCCCGAACTCCCGACCCATCCAACCCTGCTCCCTGTCTCTTGACTGCCCCCTCCAGAACCTCCCTGCCCCTTCTCCGACCCCTTGGCCCCCTTACTGTGCCGCTCAGAGTGCTGCGGAGCGGCGTGCTGGGCAGCAGGGGAGGGTGAGCAGGGGGAGGAGCTCCAGACTGCCGGAGGCCCGTTGCGAACGGCCGGCGATCTGCGAATGCAGGGAGGGGAAGGGAGGGAGAGAGAGGAGGGGAGTGATTTCAAGCTGCAGGGGAGAGGAGGGGGAAGCAGAGGAGGGGCTCTGGCTGCCAGAGCCCCGTGCGAGTGGTAGGATCCGGCCGGCTGCCCTGTCAGCCGCGCGCGCTCTGCATGGGGGGGGGGGAAGTCCGGACATTTACAAATTCCCCCCGGACGCTATTTTTAACTCAAAAAAGCCGGACATGTCCAGGAGAATCCGGACGAATGGTAATCCTACACACTAACACGGGATCGCTGGGAGCTCTGGTCCCGTCGCTGCGGGCAGCTCCTGCAGGCAGCTCCTGCGGGCAGCTCTCCGCAGCGGGGAGTCCCTGCTCTGGCCTGATCAGCCCTTGGGGCCGGGGAGTTAGTGCTACCTGCAATGGGACATGTGCCCACCAAGAACTGAAGGACTGCGACCCACCAACTGGCCTCACAGAGGCCATGGGGCAGCGACAGAGGGGGGCCTTTTGGGTCACCTTCCAGCCTGCTCTGGGACTGGACTGGATCTGATGCAGTGCCTTAGGTGCAAAATGCTCCTTATCTTATTCCCTGCCCCCCTGCTAGCTAGTACCCCTAACCTAGTCACACTGGAACTTGTTCCCTAGAGGTGAAGGCCTCTGTACCCGCTTGCCTAACTGCAAAGACAAATTCTCTGGCCTGTCCCAGTTCTGTGGAGTTGTCACCTTTCTTAGCTATGGATTTTTTGGTGGGGGGGGAGTGAATATAAATCAACATCTGTTTTTCAAGGTGATTGAACGTGGATTATCCTGGGAAAATGAGTATTTTCTGTGAACAGAGGAATTATCATATCAGATCCAACTGGGGTCCATCTAAACCAGTGGCTTGTCTCTGACGGTGGCCTGTAGTAGATACTTTAGCAGAAGATGCTAAAAACACACAATAGACAGTTATGTTATCACATGTTCAGTTTCAGGAGTAAATATATACTTGCTCATTGCTGTTCCCCTATCACTGTATGGCCAGCACATACATCACAATTTGTTTGGCCTTCTCCCACCCATAAGCAAGTTATTCTGGTCATCGGAAGTCTATTCTAGTCAGCAGATTGCAAAAGATTACAGCATCTAAAGTGTGACTTTCAGTCCCCTCCTTGTTATTGGCTCTGTAGCCTGACAATGCCTTTAGAGGCACCAACATAATTTATTCTGTGGGATTGTTTTTTACTGCAAATAAAATTGACTGAATTCTAGAAACTATGACTCAAAATAAACAATCTGCTGTTGTTATTTCACTGTAGAAACCAGACTTCTTGAGAGTGTTCGTGAAGGAGGAAGACGCTTCTGCCATGGCTGCCGAGCTGGATTTCTCTCCCCCTGAAGTCCCAGAGCCCACATTCCTGGAGAACGTGCTGCGCTATGGACTCTTTTTTGGAGCCATTTTCCAGCTGATCTGTGTATTGGCCATAATCCTCCCAATTTCAAAGTCCCATAAGACAGTAAGTTGTTCTCTTCAGTACCAGCATGCGTGGGCACAATCGAGTGGTGGTAGCCAGAACCTAATGGTTGATCAGTAATTCTGTAGTTCATTGCACTTCCTGTCTTTCCTGCGAGGTTCCCTTTACCTCTCTTCTGCCTTAACAGTCCCACGTCACTGCAACCCACTCCCCAGCCACAGAAGGTGGGAACAGCTGAACCTGCCAGGGCCTCTCTGAGGGTATGTCTTCACTACCCGCCGATCCGGCGGGTAGCAATCGGTCTATCGGGGATCGACTTACCGCGTCTCTTGAGGACGCGGTAAAATCGATCCCTGATCGCTCTGCCGTCGACTCCGGAAATCCACCTCGGCAAGAGGCGGCAGCGGAGTCGGCGGCAGCGCAGCAGCGGTCGACTTTCCCCCGTCCTCACCGCCAGGTAAGCCGACCTAAAATACGCAACTTCAGCTACGGTATTCACGTAGCTGAAGTTGCGTATCTTAGGTCGGAACCCCGCTGTAGTGTAGACCTAGCCTGAGCATCAGCACAAGGGATCAGCACTTTCCATGCGGGCTAAGTGTACTTGCCTCTGCATTGCTCCCAATTTCTCCCAGAACACAAACAAAGGGCTGACCTCAGTCTCAAATCTACATTGCCATGTTAGTATGGGTCTGGTCCATTCTTTACCCTGTTGGTCAAGAAGCCAATCAAGGCGTACCCTCAGTAGAGTCTGCCTTTTCAGCAAGAGACCTTTAGCTCTCCTTTATGCATAATCCTTGATAAAGGGCATCACTGCATGCGATACAGCTGAATTTCCTGGTGTTTGCTGGCACCAGCAATACAGCTCTCAGAACCGACCCCCACCTCTGTGCAGACATGTGGAAGGCCACCTGGCTGTAGTCAGCACAAGAGGGGGATGATAAGTAAACTACAGGGCACAAAGCAAATGTGAGATGGAATTAAAATGTAAAACATGGGCTAAACTGGAGTGATCAAAGTCTAACTGGCTATTCTGATAGAACAAGATTCAAATGCACTTGGAAACCCCTGTATTTGTAGGGTCTTTAGTCTTTACACCAACTTTTCCTGATGGCAATCAGACCACAATACATAGTGATTTTATATTTGTCTTGCTGTGTAGGGTGGAGGCCAGTATTTACAGGAACAACTTAACATGGGAAGTTTTGTTCTCTTTACAGCTGGCAATAGATTTGTTTAGAAAAATCTGATTCTTTTTGTGAAAACATGAGGGGTATCTTTATCACAATATGTGTCTGAAGCCTGGAACGCTGCAATAATGCATTGAATGTAAAGTATCTGTTTATAGATAGTATCAGACCATGTTAGTCTGTATCCACAAAAACAACGAGGAGTCCGGTGGCACCTTAAAGACTAACAGATTTATAGAGATATTTCTAAGATGGAAGATGCCAAATCTGCTCAAGGTGTGTTTGTGTGTGTGAGAGCTAGCTGCAACTTGAGGGGAGATGTGATTTCTTTCATTTTCTTGACCCTGTTATGTTTGGGGGGAATGTTTAATGGCCTGAACTTTGAAAGTGAACAATAAGGAGAGCTCACATTTTGGCGTAGGGAGCTGAAAGCCAGGCACTGAATGGGAGTTGTAATGCTTAAGGAACCATCCCGTGGTGTGCACATGCTGTGGTTAAATTTTCCACACATATACTCTGCCCTCTTAGGGTACGTCTATACCCAGCCGCTAGTTCGGCGGCTGGCAATCAAACTTCTGGGTTCGACTTATCGCGTCTTGTCTGGACGCGATAAGTCGAACCCGGAAGTGCTCGCCGTCGACTGCGGTACTCCTGCTCGGCGAGAGGAGTACCGCGGAGTCGACGGGGGAGCCTGCCTGCCGCATGTGGACTGAGGTAAGATCGAACTAAGGTACTTCGAACTTCAGCTACGTTATTCACGTAGCTGAAGTTGCGTACCTTCGTTCGATTTGGGGGGTTAGTGTAGACCAAGCCTTAGAGAAGCTGCAGACAAGTCCCATATGATCGATTTACAAGCTAATAAACAAGAATAGATGTCTTCTGGTCACGGGAGTGACACCAGCTGCTTGAGTCTGTGTAGAATTCAGAACAGCCTCTCTCACTTGAGGAGGCTTCAGGCTTTGAAGACTACCTTGCTTTGAACATTAGAAGGCAGCAGTGATCATCGTATGGCAGCAGTGAACTCTGTGTCCCTGAATAGGAACTGCATAGTGCTCTATTTCTCCACAGTATTGCCGCACTGTTTGCCAGCTCCCCATGCACCGATTACATCCTTCAACAAGCCAGCCAAGACTCCTCCCTTGGAAGGCCACACAGATATGAATAGTAATAGCACAGCAACTTGAGAAACATTTGAACCAAGCTCATTGTAACTTGAGAAACATTTGAACCAAGCTCATTGATTAAAAGGATACTGTCAGCTACTCCCCTCCCCTGCACTATCTGTAACTCTCTCTTGGAAGCTTAAAACTAACACATCTTTCTCTGCCATTTTGTGTGTCCTTTTCCAGTTGGCACATATTGATTGATAGAAATGTAGAAGCGTAAGCAATATTTATATCCAAACTCATTTAGTGAAACGAGGCAATCTGCATGTGTGCGCCTTCTGGGATGAGACTGGCTCTGTTCCCTTGCATTTTTCCAAGATGACTAGAGTTTGTTTCCCATAATAGAAATGTTATCTATCATCTCCCTTGAAGGAAGAGATTGGGATGTCTCTAAGCTATCCTTCTTAGTCCAGGTGAAGAGAGCTTTGTCTCTAACTTCTCTCCTAGATCTGCGGGCTTGATTACAAACTCTGAGCTTTAAATTCCTGCTGCTGGTTTGTTTGGTTTTTTTTTGGAGGCGTGGGGGTTGTCTGCTGCATGATGATGTTTTTATTTTTGCAAAATCCCTGTTGAATGTTTCAGCACATGTACAGCTGATTTCAGGATTCTTTTTCTGTTCTTCCCATTTGGAATTTTTTTTAATTTCACTTCTCTGTTTCCTGCCTTCCGTCACAGCTACCTTTTGTTCTTCTTTCTCCAAATCTTCCCTAAGGGGTGTAACAACTTCACTGGGTAACGGAATGTGGTTCTGCTTGGCTTCTGAGGTCTGGTCTATACCCAGAGTTGCATCAGTAACAGTGTATGGTTTTAAACCAGTGTAAGAAACAGGATGGATACTCCTAAATCAAATTAAATCTGGATAACATGGGGTTAGCTTGCATCAGTAATTTACAGACTGCGTGTTTAAAGCAATGTGACCAGGTTTAAACCAACGGGTGCGATGTGTGTGTTGACAAGGCCTTACATTAGTTGCTTGCTCCTTTTGGTATAGACACTCAGATTCTGAACTGGGATGAGATGTGAAATACAAATCTCATGCCTGAAAACATTACTGACTGTTCCTTTCTTAATTGACTGTTGTAGGACTCTGACAATTTTGAGTTTAAAAGTTCAGAGGTGGTGAAGAAGCCGAAGGTGGCTGCTCCGCAGCTGAGCAAGAAACCCAAGAAGGAAACCAAGAAGAAGAGATAAAAGGCCTTGTAAAGGAGCCTTAAAGACAAGTGGACTGCACACAGCCAGATGGTTAATTTAACTGTCCTAGTCAGCATGGATCATCTCACCTCCGATGGGGAGGGAAAGCTTACACTTGCATCTCCTCCATGCTGGCTGGGATGTGAAGTGACGCATGGAATGGGGGGCATGTGTTGTGCCCCTGAGGATACCTTTTTCTAAGTCATTGTTTTAAAGACAGACGGCTCAAATGGATTAAAGACATCACGCTACCCAGCTTTGTATTCACTTGTATTGTTGTTACATCTAAAATACATCACTGCATTTTATGCCTTAGTAGTAATGGCTTTGTTACGTTTTTTAAAAAAATATTCTCCGTAGGTAATAACTACCCTGAGTCCAGACTCGCCCAGCTCAGGGCTTTCACTTGCCCCTATATCGCCAGCACTCTGTGACTGCTTTCTTCAGCCAGTCTAGTCATGTAAACACTTTTCCTCTCTGCTTCCAGCCTGAAAGAAATATGGAAACTTCAAAACTTTTTGTGGTCAGAGGGGCTGAAAAAATGCAAGGACTAGGTGATTACCGGGCTCTTAAAAATACAGAGATGTTCCATTATAGGAAGCGGCAGCAGAGAGGTTAGGAGTATTGCAAACTGTCTGCCCGCAACAAACAGAACTCTATGTACCACGTTCTGCTGCTAACAAAGCGTGGAAATCGTTCTATCAGTCCTCCCATCTATATAGCTCTTAGGCAAATTTTGGGTGTGCATGCAGCTTTGCCTAGCATGGTATCCCGTGTCTCCTCTCACTGAACTCCTTCTGAAGTTAACTGTTATCCTGCCCTGGGAGACTATGCAAAATCCACGAGACAATAAGCTCGCTATGAAACACAGCAGAGATGATCATGTCTGTTGCTGTATAGCCAGGCACCTTCAGGCTCTCACTTTGAGGCCAGAGACCTAATGTTAGATTTAAATGTGGCTAGAAAGGATTGGAAACATACATGGTGATAAAGTGGCAGAGCCTCAATAGGGCAGCACTACCTCCTGATGATAGCTCACATGTCAGCTTGTTTGATCACTAGCGGGTCATTAGCATGAGAACCGCTGCTTAAATGCACTCAGAATTCAGAGCAGCACTAGGATCTGCTTTGAAGGAAAGTGTTCTATTGATTACTGCTCCAGTCCTGCAGTCAGAGCCACATGGACAGATCCTTGCCACTCTGATGCATCTCTCTGATGTTATTGGACACAGGATGGATCCAGTTGCAGGACTGATGCCTGTCAGTGGGTATCAGATATTACACTGCATTTGTTCTACAACATAAGCAAAACAATATGTTTGCACTTGTACAAATTACCACTGCTGAAGAGAGACTGAACCGCCTGTTCCTTTTTGTGTTTCTGGGGTTTTTTGGCCTCAGAGGGGTCTGACAAACTTCTGATCGCTTCTTAACTGTGCTGTAGGTACTGTCCCAGATGCTCTGTCTCCCTGCTTACACAGCATGTCACTGGCATTGGTTGCTGGAAGCACATTAGTGGTGGTTAAAATGTGACATGGAGAATCCCTCTGTGAATTCACTCTTTATTTGTTCTAAAGACAATTTTCAACAGAGTACCGAATGAAACACTAATAGACAGAAGAAGACCCCACCCACCCTCTACCCCAACTCCATAGCTAGAATGATCTCTCAATGCAGCAAAAAAATGTTATGAAACAGATGATAGAGAACACTGATCTTTGTAGGCCATGAGTTCCTTGGTATGCTCCATATTCCTATCCAGAGACTCCAAGGGAATGAAAATAATTGTTGCTGTCCCAGTACAGGTGCAGTTAGGTTTTGCCATTTTTTTTTAAATGAGGACAGATCAGCACTTGTCATGTGTCCTAGCCCAGTGAAGCAGTCCCTCTCCTTGTGATTTAATGGGTTTTTTTATTTGTTATAACAGAAGCACAAAGTATTTTGTGGTAACATGCATATTGCTGGAAAGGCTGGGGCTGTGTTGCAGCCTAAATAGCATGCTAGTTAATGGGGATTGTACAGTCATTGCCTTGAAATGACAGGCCTCCACATCAACCCATCATATTTTTTCCAGTCAGAATTTTACTGGTCACGTGAGCTGATTTTCAGTGGCACTCACACTGCCTGGGCCCTGGCCACCAGGCCGGGGAGCTCTGCATTTTAATTTAATTTTAAATGAAGTTTCTTAAACATTTTAAAAACCTTATTTACTTTACATACAACAATAGTTTAGTTATATATTATAGACTTATAGAAAGAGACCTTCTAAAAAGGTTAAAATGTATTACTGGCACGCGAAACCTTAAATTAGAGTGAATAAATGAAGACTCGGCACACCACTTCTGAAAGGTTGCTGACCCCTGATTTAGTTTGTTGTTTTTTAAAAATAGATGAGGTTCCAGTCTATTCCTTAGGGTAACGTAGTTCAGCCCTCTGACTAGCTAAACATATAGTCTCTGCTCACAGATGAGTAATACAATATGTATTAAGAACGAGGAGTACTTGTGGAACCTTAGAGACTAACAAATTTATTTGAGCAAAAGCTTTCGTGGGCTAAAACCCACTTCATCGGATGCATGCAGTGGAAAATACAGTAGAAAGATATATATACACAGAGGACATGAAAAAATGGGTGTTGCCATACTAACTATAACAAGAGTAATCAATTAAGGTGGGCTATTATCAGCAGGAGAAAAAAAACTTGTAGTGATAATCAGGATGGCCCATTTCCAACAGTTGACAAGAAGGTGTGAGTAACAGTGGGGGGGGGGCGGAATTAGCATGGGGAAATAGGTTTTACTTTGTGTAATGACCCATCCACTCCCAGTCTTTATTCAAGCCTAATTTAATGGTGTCCAGTTTGCAAATTAATTCCAATTCTGCAGTTGCTCTTTGGAGTCTGTTTCTGAAGTTTTTTGTTGGAGTATTGCGACTTTGAGGTCTGTAATTGAGTGACCAGGGAGGTTGAAGTGTTCTCCGACTGGTTTTTGAATGTTATAATTCTTGATGTCTGATTTGTGTCCATTTGTTCTTTTGTGTAGAGACTGTCCAGTTTGGCCAATGTACATGGCAGAGGGGCATTGCTGGCACATGATGGTATATATCACATTGGTAGATCTATTCCACTGCATGCATCCGATGAAGTGGGTTTTAGCCCATGAAAGCTTATGCTGAAATAAATTTGTTAGTCTCTAAGGTGCCACAAGGACTCCTCGTTCTTTTTGCTGATACAGACTAACACGGCTACCACTCTGAAACCTGTCACAATATGTATTGTATTTTAACTTCTCTTGAAATGTGTATGTAATAAAGATAACTGGGGAAAATGCAGTGACAGACTTTTTAAACTTTGCTGCCTCCCCTTGAGCATTCAGTGTGAAAATAGCCACTGATTTGGGAGTGAGTGGGTAGGGGCATAAATAATGTTAGTCATAAGAATAGTCTGACTGTTAGAAAAAAGCTGCTCAGATCCCCTCACCTGTAAGGAATTAGTTAATTGATACTCTAAGGTACTGTAGATGTTTGTGTTTGACTCCTTTTGAAAGATGGCAAACGGTCCTTTAATATACATTCCCCCTGAGAAAGGAAACGATACCATGACTAAATTAATTTGTGTCTCATGGGATATTTTTGCTCTGAGAGCTCTAGGGAAGGTGTAGTAATGATTAAAACACTGCTTGTTAGTGATACTGACTGGGATCGGATGGCTCAGTAGATTGATAATCGGGATTTTTGCCTCTAGGTCCCTGGTTTGAATCTAGACCAGTTTAATAGTGGCTGAAGTATAGTCCTGTCTGATGGCGGTTCATTGAGTTGGATGGAAATAGGTAGTTCAGCCAAGGTTCTGATGACCATCACCTCTCAAACCCTCAGCAGAAAAGCTGAGAGAGAGGGTACAAAGAACAACTGCATGTCTGTGGTAAATCCTTTAATCCGTGAAGTCTTTCCTTGTGGTGGGTTTGTCATTACCCTCCCAAAGAGGGCTGAAGACTTGACTAAGTCACTGTTGTTTTATTTAAAGGAAACTTTTAGAGCCTGCCTTCAGATAGGAATATTGGTCCAAAAGCCTGAATCCAAATATCGATCTCTTCGCAGAGCCCTAGTCAGCACCAGAGTGTCCTGGGAGCCCAAAGCCCAGGAAGTAGGAGCTGGATGCCCTCAGTTAATTGTGGTTGCTGAGTTCCTTTCACTCCATCGGGCAGGTCTGTGTTTTGTAGAAATACATTTGTGAGTTGGGATTGTTTTTAATTTGCCAGTTGGTTGTATTAGAGCAAATCCATCCTAGCTTCCTCCCCTCATTTTAGAGCTGCAGTGGTTGCTGTCCCTTTGAACGCAGGTATTACACAAACAATACATCCTTGTACTTCTCCAGTACAAGTAGCACAATCCCTTGAGGCTGGCTAATAAGTAGCTCATGACCGAAGTCTCTGTTCACACAGTTCAATTAAATCCCTATTAATCTTATTCAGACCTAATTTACTTTCATTCTAATGCACACACTTCTGTTCGCCTCAGATACACCCTGGTGAGGTTCCCCACTGATAGGAAATGAACTGCCTCGGGCCATCTTTGAAGAAGACTGATGTCTGCCCAGATCCGCCCCCTTCCCCAATCAAAAGGTATGGCCTGGGATTATTTCCCAGCCTACATTTCTGCTGCTAGGAATGTAAAAATAAAACTCAAATGCTGGGATGTGCTAGGCCTGGAGGTGATACGCATGAGGAAATAAGGAGACATAAGAAAGCAGACAGGGAAAAGACCAGGTTAGTGATCTTGTCTCTCCCAGGGGCCACTGCTGAATCATTCCCTATTGTACATTGCTAATATTTTGACCACCATCTAGACTGAAATGTCCCCAAAGTGATGGGGCTCCAAGCTCTTGCCTCGGGAGACTGTCTTACAGTCTAATACCTCCCACCAGCTCAAAGTTTCACTGATATTCACCTCCATTTTGTCTCCTAGTTTCATGTCTTTCCTCCTAGTTTAACCTTCCTTGCATTTGTATTATCCTAATTAACTCCTCTCCCCCTCTTGATGTCTCCACTCATCCAATATATGTTAACTGTTATGTTCCCACTACCATTCTCCAACTCACGGTTATTGCTTAGCCAAGACTTTACTCTGAGAACCAGATTCTGCCACCCCTATTCATGCAGAGTAGTACCTGAATTTGCAAGTAGTCCCATTGATCCTAAATGCCCTGATGATCACTAGCACTTTCCATTATCAAAGTGCTGTCCAAATAGCTCATTGAGCCTCATGCTCCCACTGTGAGGGGGTATCAGCACCCCAATTTCACTAACTGGGGCACAGGGAAGCTAAGTGACTTCATAGAATCATAGAAATTAGAGCTGGAAGAGACCTCGAGAGGTCATCTAAACCAGTGTTTCTCAACCTTTTAGCATATTTGTTGCTCTCCTCTGGACTGTGTCCAATTTGTCCACCTCTTCTTAAAATGTGTACCCAGAATTGAACATTGTACTCCAGCTGAGACCTCATCAATGCCAAGTAGAGCAGGACAATTACCTCCTGTGTCGTCATACGACGCTCCTGTTAATGCAGCCTAGAACGATATTCGCTGCTGCACCACATTGCTGGCTCATATTCAATTTGTGACCCACTCTGACCCCCAGATCCTTCTCAGCAGTAGTGCCGCCTAACCAGTTACTCCCTGTTTTATTGCTGTGCAATTGATTTTTCCATCCTGAGTATAGCATTTTGCACTTGTCTTTATTGAATTTCTTCTTGTTGCGTTCAGACCATTCTCCAGGTTGTCAAAGTCATTTTGAATTCTAAGCCTGTCTTCCACTGTGCTTGCAAATCCTCCCAGCTTCGTGGCATCCACAAGTTTTATGAGCATGTTCTCCATTATCCAAGTCATTAATGAAAATATTGAATGGTACTGAACCCAGGACAGACTCCTGTAGGACCCCACTAGATACAGCCTCCTAGTTGGACAGCGGACCATTGATAAATACCCTTTGAGTACAGTCTTTCAACCAGTTTGGCACCCACCTTTTAGTAATTTAATCTAGACCATGTTTGCTTATGAGACTGTCATGTGGGACTGTGTCAAAAGCCTTAGTAAAATCAAGCTATATCCCATCTACTGTGCTCCCCCCCTTGTCAAAGAAGGAAATTAGGATTTGCCCCCAATTGCAGAGTCATTGTCCAAGTGGAAATTAGCACCCAGGAGTTCCTAGCTCCAAGTCCTGTGCCTAGGCCAGGCCAGGCCTCTGTCCTGCTTACATTGCTACTGCCTTCTGGCTCCCAGCTGCTGTGAGATCCATTCTAACCTCCTGTCTTACCACGTACCCCTCAGTCTACCAGCAAAATCCAATGCAATGCAATCATGTGAGGTCCCTGTGCAGTTAGAGTACAAAGCTGCTCCCTAACTCTGTGACTAGACTAATGCTGACTCAAGTCCCAACGCTGACAACTTCCTGTTGTTATTTGTGCTCTTTGCTGGAGCTGGTACAGTCACAGAGCTGGGTCACGTGTATGGGGCCTGTTAGGACACATTTCTCCTCCTTTCAGAGGGCAACTGTTTAATCAGCTCATCTACTAATTGATGGATGTTATAGCAGCAAGGATCTACTGTTGCTATTAGGGTTTGTGTAGAGAAAGTTCCTTGAGGCTGTGTTCCCCGTGGCGCCGTTACTCCCAATCCCTTGGATCTGACTGATTTGAGTGGCAGAAATACATGTCTGTCTGTCTCTTGATTAAAAACCCTTGTGGGGAGATGCATGGATTGTGCATCCGTGCAGATGTGTGGTATTTGTGCTGGGTTCAGAAGGGCGATGGGGAAAAGCTGGAATGATATATATATCCCCTCCCCCCACCCCAAATTGTAGTTCAGATGAAAGTAGCCATGGATCCAAACCACACCTGGTTTCAAGTTTACAGAACCAGAATCTAATCTCCTCAACCCATCCCTAGCTCAAAGGAGCAATATACAATAGTTCGGGGGCAACATCCTGCCTGGGCTGCATTTGGCACAGTACCCAACGTGGGAGGGAAATTGGCTTTAACCCACTCTCTTGCTCCCTGACACAGCCACTACCATAACTCAGAGCAGCCCTATACTGATAGGAACTGTGCCTAGGATGGCTTTGCTGTCTGAGGCTTGCTGGAGCTCAATGCACTCTAGACA